GACAAGGATGGTGGGGGCCGAGACGTTGCGCATGCGCTCCTGGCACTTTCTGCGCGTGCCCCAAACGTAGCGCACCTGGCGTGGCTCGAGCATGCGGCACACATGGCGCACGTGGATCACGCGGTGCACCTTGCCCACAAAGCGTGCCCGGCACGCTTGAGCCACCGGGGTGCCTGGCGCACCTGGCGCGCGTGGCGCGCCTGGCACGCCTGGCGCATCTCGCCTCAGCGTTGCACATGGGATCTGGTTTGGTTCCCATTAGTTGTCCATCCAACGACTAGCGCTAAACACGCTGCGGCTTGGGAGCTACTCATGTGTTGGGAAGGTGGGTGGGAGTGAGTGAGACGGCTTGCGGGCGGGGAGGGTGTCTTGATGATTGTTCCCTACTGATATACACCCCCTCCCCCACCCGGCCGGCGTCCAGCCAGGAACCATGCCGACACCATGAGGGCCCGCCACCCACCATCCCTCACACAAAAACGATACAAACCGCACTCTGCCTTCACATCTGGAGCATGCGCGGCTAACCCGATGCCTCCCCCCACGATCCCTGTCAAAAAAACAATACAAAGTACACTTTGGGGCAAAGTCTTGAGTCATATTCGTGAGGCCCGCGAGCCCTTTGTATTGTGTTTGATGAGGACGGCGGGGATACCAGCATATTCCCTGACGTGCGCAGGGCTACCACCCTTTACAAAAAAAACAAAAGAAACAAGACAACATGCACCTCGCGGCTAGATCTGGGTCATGCGCGGCCATCCAGCGATCAACGTCAATTTTGTTTGACAGGGGCGGGGGGGGGGGTGGCGCGTGGCTTGCTGTGCGCAGGCCCACCAGACACAATGATGTGCATTGGTTTTCGACAAGGATGGCGGAAGCCGACATGGTTCCCGATGTGTGCTGTCACGTGCGCAGGCGCAACTGACGCACTCTGCACGTGCCCCGAACATGGCGCACCTGGCGCGACAGGAGTGTTCGGTACACCTGGCGCACTCGTGGCGCATCTGGCGCACCAGGCGTGCCTGGCACGCTCGGGCCCCAGCGGTACCTGGAGCGCGTGGCGCCCGTGGCACGCGTGGCGCACCTCGCCCGAGCGTCGCGTACCTGGGGTCGGCTTTGGTTTACAGTAGCTGCCCATCCAAGGACGACCGCCACACATGCTCAGGCTCGGGTGTTACTTATGTTTTGGGAGGGCGGGTGGGAGTGAGCTAAATGGCTTGCGGGCGGGTGGGTAGCTTGACCCATCCCCCTCCCGCCTCCCCCTGGACCTGGGCGGGGCATTTCACGAGGGGTTGACGCGGCAAAGATGGCCTCGGCGAGGACGTCAAAATCATTCATTGTATCAAGGTTTGGGCCAAATGTTGGCCTCCTGGGGGGCAGTGCTAATTTAGCACTGACCGTCCTGTGATCGATCTCCTCCATGGTGGCCCCACGATGGCCCCGAGGATCCAAAGGGTGCCGAAAGACAGCCCAAAGATGTGCCCAGGAGGCCCCCAAGCCCCCAAGAGGCCCCCACGATGCCCCCCAAAAGGCCCCCGGGAGACCACCACTACGTCGCAAGAAGCCCCCTCCAGAGGCCCCCAAGGCGCCCTAAGCGGCCTCGGCGAGAAGGTCAGCATCATTCATTTGACTAAAATGTTTGGACACAAGTTTGGCCACTAAGTAAGGAGCCCCCCTTCTTTGATCGATCCCCCCAAAGATAGCCCCAAGATGGGCCCCCGAGGCTCCCACTGGTGCCCCAAGAGGTGCTCAGGAGGTCCCAAGAAGCCCCCAAGCGGCTACCAACACCCCCCTAGGATGTTCACAAGAGACCCCCCATACGCCTCACGAGGCTCCCCCAGATGGGTTAGACACCCAAGGCGCCCCAGGTGGGCTCGGCGAGAAGGCCAAACACGTTGATGTTACTAATCTTGCCCCCCTGGGGAGGGGGGGGGCCCTGAGTCAGAGGGACCTCAAGAGGTGCCCAGGAGGCACCACGATGCCCCTGAGATGCCCCTAGGATGCCCCCAAGGGGATCCCAAGAGACCCCACGAGGTTTCAAGAGTCTCCCAAGAGGCACCCACGACGCCTCAAGAGGCCCCTGGAACTGCCAAGAGACCCCAAGACGCCCCAAGAGGAGCCCAAGAGACTCTCGAAAGAAATCCCAAGAGACTCTCGAAAGGCATGCAAGAGGTCCCTGGCCTTTCTGTTCGCCCTGCTCCTCCTCCTCTTCCTCATCGGCCTGGTCCTCCTCCTTCCTCACCCTTCCTCCCCCTCGCCCGTTCCCTCCTCCTCCTCCTCCTCCTCCTGCTCTTCGTCCGAGTTCTCCTCCATCCTCCCCATCTTGGGCACTACGCCTTACCCTGCTCCGCATTACACTGCATTCTTCCCCAAATCCCTCACGGAGGCAACTCGTCTGGGCATCGTTTCTGAATGGACTGGTGGGTTACGCGAAGCGTCTAGACTTCCTGTCGTCACTTCCTGCTTCTTAGAACTCTGGCGTGGCGGTACTCTGGTGACGTGCCCCCCTGGACCTCTCGAGCCCTTCTGGGGGTGCCGCACGTTCATCCTCAGCTAGCCGTTTCTATGGCGACTGCCGTGCCCGAGACGGGAGCCCAAGGCAAATGCTCTAGAGAATCTTCAGCCTCACTCTCGCGCTCTCTCTCTATCTCTCCCTACCTTCTGACAAACGATGCCTTTTGGGACCCAAGGGTCCCGAAAAGCGTGCGGTAAAAGACCGTGCGGTGACCGCGACATCCCGTCAGATATAACTGCACGGTCCGTTACCGCACAATGTTGGGAAGCTGGATTTCCAGTCGCCCGAGACATCCTGCGGATAGCGACCCAACCCCCCAAACCGTGCAGTCAGCCCGAATCTGCACTGACTCACCACACGGTGTGGTCACCGCACCGTTTGGGAATCTCCGAATGCCTGGAATGCCACGGTGCCTCCGCGGAAATCCCCGGACGCCTCCTCAAGAACTCGGGGACCCCAGACAGACATACACACACACAAACACACAGAGGCCGTGCGCGTCAGATGGGGCATTGGCAAGAATGTGGTGCGGAGATGATTGCGTGAAACTGCGAGAAGTGGTCGGCCCGGCAGGAGGGGGAGGAGGCAACTCCTTGGAGGTCCTCGTATGAACGATCAAGGGATGTTAAGCCCGGTGCAGGGGCCATGGAGGTGGAGCAGCCCAGATGAAACCTCGGATTAGGCCGGACTAACAAAACCTCTACGGGACTATGCCGCACTGAGACAGTCTTTACGATCACAGAAAGAGAGAGAGGGAGAGAGAGAGAGAGAGAGAAAGGGACAAGACATTAGATATCTATCTCTCTATATACATGGCGGATTTCGGAGACCACGAGCCCAACAGCGTTTTATCTCTTGGGGACACATTGTTCACTTCCGCCACCTTCCGCCGCACTTCTGCCTTCTTCCGCCTGCGGAGGCGGCCTCGCTTTACTTTCGTGAGCCTTCCGCCCCGGAAGAGATGACAAGTCCTTCGATCCCCGAAGGCAAGGCCTTTTTTGGAACGTCTCATATTTACCAGCGCCGATGCTGGCATGAACCTCCAAGGAACTACATCCTGAGACGGATACGGCCAGGAGGAGTAGGCGGCAGGGAGAGAGGGGAAAATGGGACTTCGCGTACAATGGTGGGCGATCAGTGGGAGGCAGCGAGGGCTGCAGAAAGGTGGCCTTTGGGACAGCAAACGGAGCCCCTTAGGGCCCAAGAGGAGGCCTTTCGGGGCTTCGAAACATGCACCTCTCTTCCCCCAACATTCGTCACCCCCCCCCCTCCCCTTAAGCGACGCCCAAGGGAGGCCTAGCACGGAACCGCACCACCTGACAGCTGACGCCCCCCCCCCCCGTGATGTTAGGTCGGGCATGTCCTCCCACAGTGGGATTCGGGAGGAAATTCAAAAGATAGTCAAACACATCCGAAGTATCGTCCCTAGACTACTGTTTGGACAAGTTTTGAATATTCCTCCTGTAGGAGAGCACACTCGACTCAGCCTGACGACGGGCGAACCGCACCGGCCACGTCGGAGACCGACCACCCGTGCGGGGCGCCGCAGCGCGACGAGACCCCTCTGCACGCCCACGGCCCCTGGCCAGGCCGCTCCTGACACCACAGGAGCGGGGCACACGCCCTGATGTTTATCTCAACTCTGACGGTCGAGAACACGATCGAATCTGATGTCATCTCTGCTTTGACCCCCCTTGCACCATATTCGGCCACGGAGGCGCATACATACACTGCTCCTGCATCGGGGATCCATTGACCAAGGTCAGTGCAAACCCAGGTCCGTCGCGAATTTCGGCATGATCCTGCAAGGTCCTGCAGGATCCTGCGGGGTCCTGCGCCCTGACCTGGGTCAGTGCAACCCTGGCTCTGCAGGATCCTGCAAGATCCAGCGCTCTGGCTGACACCCGCTTGCATTAGCCCCCGTCTCAAGGCACCCGACCGCACCCAGGAGCCAGACATCCGGCCGCTCCCATTTTTCCGATGCGTGGGCCCCAGAGGTCTGGACCACTTCCCTAGGGCCAGGCTTTCGTCCCCAACCATTTTCTGCCGGTCCCGAGGCCCTGCGAGGACCCCCAGAGGCCGAACACGGCCCCCAAACCCGCCGCCCCATTCTTTTGTGGGAGCGTCGGATTTCCAGGGATGGGCCTGGCCTGTGGCAGTGAATTCTCCGACGAAGGCAGGACGAGGATAAGATCGGGTGAGGATGGATCGAAGATCTCTCGGATCCCGCCGTTCTGGAGGACGTCTCGGGCGCCGCGGCCTCCTCGGAGCGTTCCAGAGTGCTCCGAGAGAGTTCCAGCACTCCCTGGGACGATCCTCGTCCTGACCCCGTCCGGTCTGGGGACCTCTGGGGATGGGCCTGGCCGGGGGCAGCCGATACCCGTGCGCAAGCCACGTCGCCCGACCCCCCGAGGGGGCGAGTGGCGCGCCCGACCGCGCGCCCAGAGGGGGCGGCCGAGGGCGCGTCCTCGGGGGGCTGCTGGGCTCAATAGTCCACAGTCCTCCCGGTCTCCTCGCCAGCTGGGCGAGTCGCCGCCGCCAACGCCGCCGCTGTCGTCGTCGTCGTCGTCCGTCGTCGTTGTCGTCGTCGTCGTGGCCGTCGTGGTCGTCGTCGTCGTCGTGGCCGCCGTGGTCGTCGTGATCGTGGTGGCCGTCGTGGTCGCCGTCGTCGTCGTCGTCGTTCTGGTCGTCGTGGTCGTCGTGGTCGTCGTCGTCGTCGTCGTCGTCGTGGTCGTCGTGGTCGTCGTCGTCGTCGTCCGTCGTCGTCATCGTCGGCGGCGCCGACGTCGTCATCGACGTCAGCGTCAGCGTCGGCGTCGTCGGTGTCGTCGTCGTGGGCGTCGGTCTCGTCGCCGCCGCGAAGAAGAATCCTTCGATTTTTTCACTTCGCACTGGTTAAACTCTCCAAGATGAGGGAGGAGGCAGAGGAGGAAACGGAACATGGGAACAAAAAGTAGGAGGAGGGAGAGGACATGGACCGAAAACGAGGAGAAACACGAGGAACAATTCCCCAGGACACCCGACGTCATGATTCTTTTCGCAGCGTTCACCCCCAAAGGTCTGGGCCCGAATCCCTGAGACCAATGTTACGCCCTGAGCCGTGCTGGTTGCGGTCCCTGGGCCCGGGAAGGGCCCCCTGAAACCGAAAATAGCGGAAACAACTCCGTCGTGTGTTTGTTTGTTACCCGAGTGGGTCTGGGTCCGAGGATGAGGAGAAACAGCTAGGAAAGGCACACGAGAAGGAAGGAAGGTTCCATCTCGCCTTTAGAGAACCACACAAACACGCACGCGCCAAACCACGTGCATGAACACGGTCCCCCAGTCCGCGAGACCCCACCAAAGGACGAACGCGCCAAACCCCGCACATAAGCACGACCCCCAGTCCGCGAGACCAGCCGCGTGATACGAACCTTCGCGCAAAACGTATACGCTCGAAACCAACATGGATTCATGTACAACCGTACCAAAGATATAATACATTCCTCAAGACAATGAGACACTCTGCCGGACAACACACACAGAACATCCAATGGCAATAACCCCCCCAGGATGCACAAGACCATCCAACAAACACGAAGAGCATTCGGGCACCCTCCCTGAACCGAACTCGACATTATGCCTGAATCCGACCGTGCGTGTACGTCCTTCTCTCGCTCCTGACCCTCCTCCTACTCCATGATTCGAAGGGAAGGTCGAAGGCTACTAAGCCCACTGACCGCCCCTTCCTTCTCCCCTCGCCGGCCTGTCGGGGAAGGGGGGCCGCGGGAGAAAGGAGGTGGGGATCAGGAAAAGAAGCTCCTGGACGAGGAGGAAGAGGAGGGCGAGGATTTTGTTGACAGGGCCTCGGGATGAATGCCCTCCAGGGCACAGGGCGCCAGCTCCCGCGAACAAGCGCCTCTGCTGCACGAGACTGCCGCCACAGGTTGCCTCCTTTGAGGTCCGCGACAGCAGTCAGTCGGAGCCCACGGGTGCGGCTGGGGAGCGGAAAGCTGGCAGCCGCAGCGCGAGCCTCTACGAGGCGGCGCGCTTCCGAGACACACGACCAAACGCAGCAACGCGGGAACCCCTCCAGGGGGCCACGTACTCGTAACAAAAAAACGCCCTGTAAGTGTAAGATCCACGCGCAGAGAGGGGCAGGCCCAGGCAGCCTGGCCCCTGCGACGCCACGACCCGAGCCACGGTCGGGGCCGTCCAATGACAGCCCCCGTGCTCGGCCAGGAAATCACCGCAGACGGGCGTGCCATGCGCCTCCCCCCCGAGCGGGGTGCCTGACACGCGTGCCGAGCGCCCGCGAGCGCGCGCGCGCGCGCACACACACACACACACAGACACACACACACACACACACACACAACGGACGCGCACGAACACGAGATAACGTGTAAAGAAAAACCGACCGCCCACACAAAGGGCGGCGAGACCCGCCACCCCTGGTGCAGCGAGCGCCAGGACGACAGCAAGCCCCGCCCCAGATGCGGGGTATGCACGAATAAAACACATGAAACTCTGAAGACGACCGCACACACAAGGGCGACGAGGCCCTACGCCCCAGTTGCAGAGAGCGCCATGACGACGCCTGGCCTCGCCCCAGGCGTGGGGCGAAGCACGGATGCCTGCCAAAAGGGCCAGTCGCATCGGGCCGTGCAGAAGAAGACGCAAGTGAGAAAAGCATATACGTGCCTGCCGATTGGCCACCACCGTCAGTCCGAGCTATCAGACTCCTCCCCGCGGTGCGGCAGAACGCTCACCATCTCTCCCACAGGCGAGGTGTGTGAGGTGGCGAACGCCCTGCGGACCCTCGACGCCTGTGCATCCTTCACCACGTCTGAGGGCCCTCTGTAACTCGGAAAGGTCGTCTTGCTTGTCCTGGCCAGGTTCTGGACGCCCTTACGTGTGGCAGGCGCGCGTTAAGACAATAAGCTCCTCGGGGCGACCGTAGCCGCGCGGCCGCACGTCGCGCAAAAATAAAGCGAGTGCCGCGGCCAGAAGCGGAGGGCATGAGACTCGCGAAGCTGCTTCCCGCCCAGCACCCCCCCCCCCCCGCCGACCGAAACGCATCGATAGCCGAGTCCGTGGACCCTGGGTCCGCAAGCAGGTCGACCGAGCACTCAGTCGCGCACGCCTCCAGGATGTGTTTCTGGTTAACAATGCAATGGCACAGGCTGCGCGCAAATCTATGAGACGGCTGGCGGGCAAAACAATATTGACTCTCTAGCATGGCCTTCGACAAGGCCGCCTCCGACGAGGCTGTGCTGGGGCTGGCTTGGGCCTCTCGGGGGCAGTTGGAGAGGTCCAGACGGGGTCACTGAAAAAGGATATTGGCCGCCAATTTGCAAACCGCTTTAGCGACCCTGATGCAGAACACCAAAGCCTCCTGCTCCTCTTCCGTGGCCGCAGGGTGGAGATGGGCTCCTGCGTTCGCCGCCAGGTCCGCCGCGTGGTTGCCCAAACGGCGCCGCCTCTCATCTGGCTCAATTCCCTCTTCATGAGGGTCGAGGTGAGCCTTCACCTTCGAAACAGCACTGAACAAAAGGGGCCCCGAGGTTAAAAAAAACAACATGAGGCCAGCGTAGGGCCTCTCGTAGGAAACCTGCAACTCCCTCGGGGCAAGGCCCACCACATTTTTGCAGTCACTGAAAACAGACGACGGGCCCGTGACTTCTATCCCCGCTCTGGCCAGGGCCGCGAACTCGCCACATTGGGGAGCCTGAAAGAATGGGGCATACACACGGGCATACATCGTGAACCGTTCTTGGCCAGCGTCGCCGACTAAAACAAGACCGTACCCCGCCCTCGAGAGCTCGGAGACTTGGTGCCTGAAACAGCACCCATCTACAAAGATTTAACAACTGAAACTGCCATCGTCGGGGGGGGGGGGGGGGGGGGGGGAGCCGTGCCAGACCTGGACCGCCTGGGCCCCAGAGCTCTCACCCGCAGGCATAGGAGAAACGCCCCCCAGGGTGGGGAAACAAACCTTTGCCGAACAGGAGGTCGGTGAGGGGGTCTGACGGATCCGCCGCGCCAGCGGCCTCAAGAACTTCTCGGTCGATCAACTCCGATCGCAACGAGCCGAAAGCAGGGCAACGCCAGAGCCAGTGAAAAGGCGCCTCACCGTGCTGCCCGCACATCGCACAGCGACCGTCCGCCAGCTGGTAACCCGCGAGCGTCCCAGAGAGCGTCACACGTTGGTCCAGAAAGCGTCACACGTGAGGCTTCTAATGCACCCTTTCTCGAGGGCCGAAAACCGTTTCGATCGGAGCTGATTGCGAACGATATCGTAGCACAATCGATCGCATGGCAGGCGAAGCTTAGCACAGGGCTCGCGTTCGAGCTGTCGAAGCACAGCGGCCCTGAGGAAACTCTTGAGCAGCGCGGGCGAGACAGTCGTCAGCTAGATTTCATCACCGAAGTCCGACATCAACGCCACGAAGTTCGCCATCTTCCATCTATCCGAACTAACGATAGTCTCATAGCTGACAACGGTCCGCACACCTGTCGCCAGGTGGGCATCTTACTGTTAAAAACCTGCTCCCAGGCTTGCCTCAGCACAGGAAGCGATAAACCATGGGCGTAGGAGTGGGTCTGGGATGCCCACACCCCTTTACTGTATCTGATGATGGGGGACACAGCGGCAATCCAGGTAGGGTCTCCGTTAAGGAGGAGGGTGGAGGTGAGCGAACGGCCTCCGGCCCTGGGGCGCAAAACGTTGCCCGCTTCCCTCCGAAGTTTACCGAGCTCGAAATCAGAGTTTCCATGAACCTCCGCTCCGTAGAGGACCCCAGGGAGAGCACCGGGCACCCAAATCCTCTTGCTGTACTTCCCCAGACTACAAGGCATACGGACCAGCTTTGTGGTGGTCGCTTTGAGGTGAGACGCTATGAGCTTAAGTTTGGGGCTACTTTTGGCGCCCCCCCCCTGGGCCTGCCAGCGGCATCGTCGATGCCCAGGTTGACAGCGCTGTCCGTGGGTCTGCCCGCGAGAGGCCCTAAAAAGTCAATCAACTGTTTCTTGACCTCTTTGCTGGAAGTCACGAAGGCGGCCTTGTCGCGCGACATGTCGCACCCCATCTCCTCTACTGTGGCCTTGTGCAAGCAAGAAGAGGCAACCTTCAAATTGCTGACCACCTGCGCGACAGTGCCCGTGCTAGAGATTCCACTCTCATCTATATACTGGTCGAGCTGCGTGCAGGGGGGGGAACTCGAGTATGTCAAAACTCTCGATGTAATAAACTTTGGCGTACGACGCGGCGAAACTGCATCCCGCGATGACCCCCCTCACCGCGTAGAAGGGCCCCGACACATGGTTACCCATGCACATAAACCTCGCTCCGCGGTACGCCGCGATCGATTGCTTGCCTATACAGCACGGGAGGGAACTGAAATCGCTGACAGTGAAATTCCAACCGTTCCAGAGAGATGCCTTCGCAGAACTTCGCCATGTCCCAAAGCTAATTCCCCGAACACAGCCCTTTGGAGTTAGCGGTCTCGGACGTCAGCATCTGCCCCCAGACCG